GTACCCTCTGGCGCTTCCAAAACCAGTTAACTCTTTGTATTTATTAGGAGGGTTACAAGTGAAGATTTGGTCAAATGTACAAAAATGTTCAACGAAGTCAACAATAATAAATTATCCGATCAGTCGCCTAAGCCGTTTAGGCGGCATTGGATACCATAGGCAGATAATTGCAGTCGGAGGTGAAGAAGAAACGTATGCTTTAAGACAAATTTGTGTACTGATTGATCGGATAATTGATTATTGTTGAGTTTACTAAACATTTTTGTAAATTTGACCAGATGTTTTTCATGTTCCTTTCAGTTAGATTTCTAAACTTATCAATTGCTTTGTGGGATAAAAACATTTTCCTCCTATTTGAAATATGCTTCTTTTTTTTTCTTTTTTTGCGTTATACTTTAGCAGCAGTCTTTTTTAATCACTTAACTTTCATCTTTATACTTCGATGTATAATCACGCCAACATTTACAGGTATATTGTTGTGCATGAAAAATTTGTACCAACAGTGTATGGCATCGTAATACTGTCAAATGGATAGTAGTTTTTGAAGGTTAATGCTGTTATGTTTATTCGGAACTTATTTTTGATGTGATATTTAACTAATAGAAGGGATAATAAACGGTCAAAAAGACGTTTACAAAATATACATCTGCATACAGATAGGTTAAAAAAATTGAACACAAGGGAAAAAAAAAAGAAGGAATAAAGCATTTACAAAAGACATTGAATATAAATTGAAGAAAAAAAATTTTTTTTGAAGTATTTTTAGAAAATTGTTGTTATCGTTACGGAACATATCATTAGATAAATTAATAAGAACGTGACATTTGAAGAGAACAATATCATTCTTGTAATATATATAATGGTCTAAAAAAAAAAAAGAAATATGTAAGGGACTTATGTGTAACTGTTAATTGCAGTAAAAATTTAGTAACTTTTGTGCCCAGAATATTGTTGCAAATTTGTCATCAAAAAAAGAAAAAAAAAAAACAAGTTATTCAACTGTGTCCAACTGAGTTGCTGTATAATTTGTCGCCGTTGAATTATGGGTGTTATAGCAACGTTGCTTATCCTTTTGGATATAAACGAAAAAAAATATTTGTTCTGTTATGTAAGTTGTGAATCAGTATAAAATTGCTAAATTATTTTCACGGTTTTTTAGTAAGACTGCTCTTCATCTCTCTTTCTTTTTCATTTTTTGTTTGAAACTTTGAGAATTGAAATTTTTTCTTTTCTTTTTACTATTTAACGATGTATAACTGCTGTAGTAATATGCATATAATTGTTGGAAAAAGAAAGGTATTCTTTCTTTCTTTGACATCCAAACTTTCCTTCATA